TTTGCCAACCTTATTAGCAACAAACCGTGAACACATCCCAGACTAACTCTGCAGGAGCCTGTACATCCGCTCTTGACCAACCCCAGACAAACCCGAAGCCAACCCCAAAGCTACAGAAATACTACCGAAGCCCAATTATTCAATCTAAGCCCACCCTAAACTTGCGCTGAACCAGCCACCATACACCCAACCCAAGGCAACCTTAAGCAGCTCTAAACACTCTCTAATCCTGCCCAGAAACCATCCTGAACCCACCCTGAGACAACCCAAACAAATATTATCCCACTTCATCGCTGTGCTCAGCTTGTTGAATCGTGATTGTAAACCATAGAAGTGGTTTTGTCCCACTCGTCCAGTAGAGCAATGATTTGAATTTGCATAATTTCGCACCCGGGTGAATCGACCTGATAGTTCAACGGGGGTGATTCAATGGTGTTTCCTGGAAAAGTATTCGATTCCATCTACCAGGGTTTTATTAATCCCATGTTCCTACTAACATGATGCTTGTGCCGAGAGCGCACGTTCATTTCCAAGTGGGTTCCGCGGCTTCAAGGGATCTCGCAACGGCAGCATGACAGCCCAGTTTACAGTGTGCACATGGCTTGATAATGTTTGCCTTGTATACGTTACGGTGCTTGTACCAGTGAACGGTTCAATGCGGTTTATGGCCTCAAAGCCAGTGGAAGGTTTTAAGTTTTAACTCAGAGGAGCCGTGCAGCCGATGCAGATGCCTTGGACCTAAGTCAGGCAGATCTGCAGACGACAATTAGGTCTCATGTTGTGACATTATGCGTGATGACATGGGGTCACTTGGTTGTGATGAGTCTCGGACACCAGCTGCAGGAAATTCTAGAGTTTATTGGCCAATTTCCATTTGAAATTCCCGTTGCTGGTTTCTCTTTGATTTAGGTCATGGGGGTTACTCACTAGGCTCCCAGCTGGGCGCACCTGAATATTAGCCTGTGGCTATGTTGGATCATTGGGGGCTGAGGCCAGTGCTTGGCAAACGTGGCAGGGGCAAATCGTAGAAATCACATTGACGGAGTCCCGATCTTGTGACCCGCCATGCGTTGTGAGGATTGAGGGTTGGGTAGTAAGAGCATATAGCGTTCGAGTCAGACATGACCGGGGTGTCTCCGGTTCGTTTCCTTTGGACACCACTTAAATAGCAGTGGTTGAAGCACCTTCAAATAGTGGACAGCAATCCCCATGTAAATGTCCACCAAAGCATCCATGTCCAAATAAACGTCAGAATGTAAGTGGCTAGTAAGTTAGTCCGACTGAATTTAGTTGGGGTACTCCAATAAGATTTCGTGCAAGGCCAGACACTCGCGGCCACGGCCCTCAGCGGGGAGTTGAGGGAATCGGAGATGTGGGCCGGGGCTAAATCGGGGTCTCCCCTTTGGTTGAAGACGCAAGAACAAAAGCGGCTGCATCAATATGTCCCTCAAATTTCCCGATCGGTAGCTCAAAATCCACGGAAAGCTAAGCTTTGGGGCAAATCCAGCTGAAATCCGCCGAACCATGCCTCCAGATGAAGTACTCGCATTGTGGCTCGTTTTGAGACTCGGTACCCTTTTTGAGGTTGGTTCAAAAGGGCACCAAAAGGAAACCAACCATTTTGAGGCGTCCGTTTTTGTTTAAAGGGTGTTCCATGTCCTTTTGAATTGCTTTTTGAAGAAAGGGACAACGCCAAGCCACTTGACTCTCGAACCACCCTTAAGAAAACGGGGCACCATAATGTTGGCACACATGGCGGGTTCCTCTTTGTGGATGAACAAATCCCGGCACCAACTTGGATGAAACTCAAATAGTGGGCTCAACCTACCCACTGGCGCAGGATTATGTTCATCCACAGTGCGGGCCCCGCTTTGATGCCAAACTTGCGTGCTGGGCGCATCTCAGGCCGAGAGCAGGAGCTGGATCGCCAGATTCAGCAGATGGCCAGGCGCTGAGCTTTGCCTGGTCTGGGGTGAGCAAGAATCAATGCCAGATCTTTGAGCTTTGCATAACTTTTTCCGGAACATGTTTTTTGTGCAGCTCGCCTGCAAACAAGTTCGACTTGTTGGGCAGGGGCAGGGGGAACAGCCATCAAAACCTGGGTAGTTTAAGGTACGTAGGCGGCAGTCCCACTTTACATGGCTTTGGGTAGACCATTGCAACACCGCGGTTTGATGATGACTCTTGGCGGTTTTGAACATCGCTTTTGGGCTCATTGAAGGTGAGTCTCCCTTGGTAGGGGGCATGTTTTCGGGTTGGAAATATAGGGAGCCAGGTTTGCGATGTCGAATCAGGCACTTCTCGTTCAAAATGTTGCCCCATTTGTGGCTTTGTTTTCCAAAGGGAACCCAACCAGAGATTGGTAATGTGCTAAGTTTTCTAAGTGTTTCTAAGTTTTTAGACCCCTGTTTATCACCCACTTCTTGGCCACCCATTCTCCAAGCGAATCGACCTTCTGACCTTAGGCTGGGCCCAATTGAAACTGATGAGTCAAAGTCATCAAATGGAGTGTGCTCTTTAAAGCTACTTGGTTGATATTGACAAATCAAGAGAGCTGGGGACTGCGTCAAACAATGTGGCCAGCTCGGTTTTGTAGCTTTCGCCCAAAGCCAAGGTTCCAAAAGGCTAGCCTTTTTTTAGGTTGAGGCTCTGGGCAATCCAGGTTCTGGCATCGTTTTGCTTGGGCCTGTTGACTTTGGGGGGGCCAGAAGGACCAGAGTGACTCAGGCTTCCGGCGGCGGCGGGTCTGTCGTATTCGTCAATGAGGAGCTGCGCGGCTTGAGTCAGTCTGGAGTGTCCAATCAATGGATGGAACCCTATGAAGCGTGGGACAACCCACCAATCCGTGCAGGAATTCGTCCATCAGCAACATGGCAACAGTGGAATGCCCCTTCTTTAGGGCGGATTCTTCACTTTCTCCGGATGTAGCTTCCTATTTACTTTGATAAGATGTTCGCAGCCCTTCAATTGGTCCGTGCATCACGCTTTTGTCTTGTCGCAGAATGCCACAAGTGTTTTCGCGATTTGCTTCTTTTGGCAAAGCTGATTCAAAGTCGCTGCCCTTGCGGTGGGGGTATCTCAATCACTTGAAATGGGTCAAATGTTGGTACATATTTGCCTACATGGATTTGGGTATGTTGAGGTGATGTTAGGTTGATGCCCCTGGAGCCCAAGCCTGTTGATGGCTCGTCAGCAGGGCAGTCCCTTTTAGAGTACGGACGTCATTCTAACTATTGTCCTTGTAGAGGGGCAAACGAGTCCCAACGCCCCCCTAAAGTAGGTACTGGATTCCTTTTGCAGGTCTGAAACGCAAGCCTGGATGGTTTGGGAGTTGGCGAAGTGGCTGGTACCCCCTGGTTAGCCCCTTGCGAACTCTTGGGTCACTTAGCGAACTCCCAGAGCCAAGAATTTGGTCAACCAAAAAGGGGACCCAGACCACCGTCCAAGATTTTGGTGGACCAAAGGGGACTTGGCAAGATCAGTGTGTCCGAATCCCAGGTGCAGGGTGTTCCGCCTCCCGTTGAAAGGAGTACCACGAGGTTGTTCAACTGATGTGTAGAACCAACAAGCTGTGTGGATTGTGTGCAGCTGGAACTTGTAGGACGCGCCCCAAGACCTTCCCTTTGGGATGCAGGCCTGCGTTTCGCAAGCCTCGACTGTTCTGGATCAAATGTGTGAAGGGTCATGTGTTTGTGCGTGTGGGTGCGTGCGTGCGTGCGTACGTGCGTGCGTGCGTGCGTGCGTGCGTGCGTGCGTGCGTGGGTGGGTGGGTGGGTGGGTGAGTGGGTGGGTGGGTGGGTGGGTGGGTGGGTGGGTGGGTGGGTGGGTGGGTGGGTGTGTGTGTGTGCGTGTCGGAGCGTGTGTCTTTGTGTTGTTTGTGTTTTTGTTCTTCTTCTTTTTGTTTTTTGCGTGTGTGCGTGTTCTCTCTCTCTCTCTCTCTCTCTCTCTCTCTTTCTTCCTCTCTCTTTTGTATTTCTCTCCGCGTTTCATTCTCTGTGTTTCCGTTTGTGTGGGTGCCTGTGTCTTTGTGTTTGTGTGTCTGTGTGTAGTGTATTCGTCATTGGTGTAGGCGTGATGTTCAATCGCGGTAGAATTGAATGGTTGGAACATCCTCAAAGGGTCGGTGGGCATCATACAATGGATTCCTCTCCACCAAAGGGTCCATGTGTGTTTTAAGAAAGGAGCCCCATGGAAATGAGTGTTTCATTCTAGATTTCCATTAAAAGCTATTCAGTGTTGTAGAATGGACGAGCTCTTGTTATATTTTGTTATCCAAGCTGGCAGATGCTCGCTGCCCCTGCAACTGTATGTTTCAGTGTATATGTTCGCGCCCGCTGGCCCAATAAGAACTAGAGCATGCCTGCCCTTGTTTCCAGCATGGGTGCACAGCTCGTGCGCTCAGATGGACGTGCACATGCCGGCGTATGATCGGATAGAGTACTTAAATGAGCTACCTTGTTCGAAGTGATCCTGGTGGGTGAACTTCTTGCATAGTTGTGAAATGGCTCATCCTAGGCTTATCCAGAGAATTTCCCCCAGAACCCCCACCCCCCACCCCCCTTGCGAGCCCAGCTCGCGATCCGGGCAGGGCATCCGCGAGCTCTTCCCAGGGCCTTTGCAGTTTGAGATCCAGACCGAAGGCGGGGATTTGGATACACAGTTGGATTTCCCCTGAAAAGGAAATCGGGGCGCTGGACCTTTGGAGATGGGGGGGGCCAGCCCCCTTGAGCGTGGAATGTAGGGCTCCTTTGTGCCAAACAGGTTTGCTGCTGGGGGGCTCTATTCATGCAACGAACTGCTCCCAGTCACGAGATGGTTTGCCCCTGGTATCCCTGCTATTTGCCCATTTGTCTTCCTTGTTGTCTCCCGACTTGTCTTCCCATCCCTGCTTGTGCTGGTGATGCTTCTCCCCAGCAATAGTTGGTGAGCATAAATCAAGATTGAAATCCCCATCAAGAATTCATCCCTAGCTGCGTCCGGTTCATGTTGGCTTTCCCGCTTTGGGCTCAAAGCCAAGCTAGAGTCGTCAGGTCGCCATGTCGGCTAAAATGCTGACGAAATGGGGTGAGCAAATCACAGAGTCGCCCTGGCCGGAGTATCCCCGACCACAGATGGTGCGGGAGAAGTGGTGGAGTTTGAATGGCCTTTGGCGGTGTCGTGTGAGTCAGGAGGCTGAGACTCCGGAGAGGATGCTGGAAACCATGCCGGAGAAAGACCGCCAGATCTTGGTGCCCTTCTGCTTGGAGTCGACTTTGGGAGGAGTGGGCCAGAACTTGGAACCTCATGAGGAGTTATGGTATCACCGAACCTTTGAGTGGGAGAAAAGGGAGAGCCGACTGTTGCTGCATTTCGAGGCTGTGGACTACTGCACCACAGTTTGGGTCAACGGTGTGAAGGTCGGCGAGCACAAAGGTGGCTTTACGCCATTCGAGTTTGATGTGACAGAAGCAGCTGCTACCGGCTCCAACCAGCTGGTGATGCGGGTGACCGATGCCACTGGCAACTTTCAGCCGCGGGGGAAGCAGTCCAAGGCCTGCGCCCCTCACCAGGGGTTGCGCCACTGTTGGGCGTGGTTTCCCTGTAGCCTTCAGCTTTTTCGGAGCACGTGTGTATTTTCTCTCAGCAACTAGGACCTTGCACATCTTTTGGGGGCCTTCCTGTCAAAATTGCGTTGGGGACGTGGGAGGCCCCGCACAAGATCTGGTACACGCGGGTCTCGGGGATTTGGCAGAGCGTTTGGCTGGAGGAGGTGCCTATGAGCTACTCGGGTTCACGAGTTCGAACATATGTATCAAGTCACCAGTGCCATCTACTGGGTTTGCTTCCTTTACTAGGGTACCCTTTTTTGGTTAAAGGATAGCCCCTAATGTTCACATGCCCATATTAATGTCCAACAACACTTGGGGCCTCATCCATTTGGGTCTTTAAATCTCGATTGAAACAAATTACGCATGATTCCTTGATTGGAAGCATGTTTCTTCTTTATGAAAGCGACTACCCTTGGTTCAACAGTATCCAACAGTCATGAACGCTGAAAAGACCTGGCCACTTCCATGAGTGTTGAAAATATCTTCGAAACAACCTTGCACGCTTATAATAATTCCCTTTCTGGGTGGTAGAATCATCACCTTTTGGGTCATTATAAAATGCTATTCCCTTGGGTGGAGCGATGTTCAAAGGGGACACACGGCTTGGCCTAAAATAGGGGGGAAACACAAAATGGGTGGTTCCCTTTTGCTTTCCCTTTCAGCTTATTTGAAGGGACTCTAAGAAACCCAACCCCAGACACCGCTGTGATTTCCGAGCAACTCAGGCTACATCTCGAGTCTCCAAATCACGGTCACCTCTTTGTCGCCTCCCTGCGTCCAAGTGCAGGCAATCTTGGCTGGGGAATGTCCGCCGACGTGGCAGCTGCGGGTGATGGTCTTGGAAGGCAACTCGGTAAAGTTCTGACTTGTATTTTTGCCCGACCTGGTAGCAACAAGCAATAGATCCCATAGGTCTGGGTTGAGAAGGTTTATGGTTTATGGTTGGCTTATGGTTGGCTCAGGGTTGGCTTATTGTTCAATGCTGAGACCAAGGCAAGGAGCTACTTGCGGAAGCAGAGGGCTCTGAGAGCAGAGCTCAGCTGGAGCTGGTAGTGCCGAAAGCCAAGCTTTGGTCGCCTCAACGACCGCATCTCTACGACTTGCGTGTCGAGCTGTGCTCGGACGGACGAGTGCTGGATGCATTGCCAGACTTAGTTTACCTGTTTGCCCTGTTTCCCTGTTCACCTTTTCTTTGGTGGGGGGGGGCATTTGTGCGTTGCCCTGTCACTTTTCCGAGCCGCTTGGGATCGGATCAGTCAGGATGTGGTGGACTCCTATGTGGGCATCCGCACTGTGGGCAAGAAGAAGGACGTGGAGGGCCACTGGCGCCTGACGCTGAACGAGGACGGATGGGTTGGGCAATGATTTGGACATAGTTGTTGGGTCTCGCTCAGTACAGCTACTGAAAAGATACAATGCGCCAATTTGAGACATTGATTTATCGTTTTCACCAGATCAGAGGAAGCCAAGGGGCCCGGGCCGGGGGGTAATGTTTCAGGTTTAGGGGTTTAGGTGATAAAACAGGAACCCCTGTCATGTTGTTCAATTTAAATATCATTTTCGCTTAGGACTGGGCCTGGACATTTCCGCAATGCAGATCAGACCAACAGGAAACCGCCAGTTTTGCGGGGGAATGTTCGGATAGTTCTTGTCCAAGCTGAACTTATTTTTTGGCTGTCTTCGTTCATTGACTGCAATCAAATTTCCATACTTCAATCAACATCTCTGGGAGTTGGAGCCGGCGGAGTATGGGAGCCCCTGAGGACTGCTGCTTCCACCTGGGGCCCTTGGACCAGGGCTGGTGGCCGGATGGGCTCCTTACGCCCCCCTCGGATGAGGCGATGCGCTATGACCTGGAGTTCTTGAAGGAGGCAGGAGCCAAGGTTAGGGGTTTTGCTCTAAATGGGGTAGGGTGTTTTTAGCTCTTGTTTCGGCTTGTTTGTGGTCAGGAGTGCTTTTCGGGATGGTTTGGGTGGTTTTGGGTGTTTGTTTTAGGGGAGTCCTCGAATTCAGTTTTCTTGTTGGTTTGCGTTTAGCGCAATCCGCAAAAAGGCTTCCTCAAAAACAAAACAATCTGGACATCTCGAGTCGGCCACCTCACAATCGCCTGAATGAACTCTGCTTGGAAACTGACGCACAACTCCTGGCGTGAAAACAATCGGAACTGATGGCCACGGGAAAGCACTGGCTCTTGACATGCTTCGTTTAGTGTGTTGAAAGGAGATTGGCCACCAGACAGAGCGACAATGAGAACCTGAACAAACTGCGGCTAGTACAGGATTGTCTCAACCGCCTGAATTCTTCACCACGGGTGTTTGGGAAGACTCTATGCATGAGTGATTCTGACCTGCGGTGGGTGTGTTGTTTTGTTGAGGATACCCTGTTGGGTGGGTTCAAAGGGAAACCAAAAGAACAACAACCATGTTTGGGGTCCCCCGATTTTGAGACAAACCCGTTGTTTCTTTCAAGCCACCCAGCGTCTGGTCCATGGGTGGCCTTCCTTCAATACCAGATGTTGATCCACCTGCCTCTCTTCCAAGGACCCTGAGATTCGTCTTCTGGTTTCAAATGGATCAGCTGAAGCCAACTGCTTTTTCAGAGAAACATACCTGAGATGTCCTCCTTTGGTCCATTTTCCTCTAAAGGAGGCCACATGTTTGTTGGGTTCCATGTTAGTTGGTGAGAGGGTATCTCAAGACTTGCATTTGGACGTTCCACAACATGGAGATTGTGCCTTCGACTTGCCCTGAAAACTTCACCAAAAAGGGTTCATGCATGGCCACACGTCGCACATTGGCCGTCCGTGGTTCTGGAAGATCAAGCACGGCTCAAACAGACCCCCGCCCAGTCTGAGTGCCCTGAGGCGGGCTTCAACATGGTCCGGAAGCACGTGAAGGTGGAGCCGAGGCGCTACTACTTCCACTGCGACCAGCTGGGGCTCATGGTGTGCCTGGGGCTCGAAGGTTTCTTCGCAGCTTAAAAAGTAAATGTGTCAAACATGGAACCAGAACCCAACATGGATGTGTTTCACTTTTGGGTCACTTGAAACCAATCCTAGAAAGGGTACATACAAACACACACACACAGACACACACGTGGTTCGATCTGCCTACGTTATAGCAAGCTGACCGATTCGGGTGTAAACCGAGCTCACCGTGATATAGGTCTTTCACCTTGTGATGATGATGGTGATGGTGATGGTGATGGTGATGGTGATGGTGATGATGATGGTGAGGGTGATGATGATGATGATGATGATGATGATGATGATGATGATGATGATGATGATGATGATGATGATGATGATCATGGTGATGGCGATGGCGATGGTGCTGGTGAAGTTGACGTGGACGGTGATGGTGATGATGCTGCCGCTGCCGCTGCTGCTGCTGCTGACGATGATGATTGAAGACGATGATCAAGATTATGATGATGAAGAAGAAGATGATGATGATGAAGATGAAGACGAAGACGATGATGATGATGATGATGATGATGATGATGATGATGATGATGACTACAACAGCACAGCTTGGCGCAACCTGGTTGCAGGATTGAATATTGACCAAGACAAGTTGGTTTCTAAAATGAATGCTTTTCAATCTTAAGGCCCCCTTTAGATGATTAGTTGCGATTCGGTTTCTCTTGCTCTGAGACAGGACCGAACAGATATGTGACTTGCGAATGGACAAAATGGTTGGTGGACATAAATCCCCACTCAACCGATGTCCACCAAAGGGTCGCCTACCCAAGGTGGCAGGACCAAGTCTCCGGCACGGAGAAGGAGGGGGATTGCTTCAAGGTACCGCCATGGACACGCTTGCAGCCTGGAGGCCGGGCTTTTGGTTTGTACCAGTTTTGGCCCATTCTTCAGGAAGTCCGAAAGTTGCAGGGTTTGAGGCCTAAAGGACTACTGCCGTAGGCCTGAAGCAAGGCCAAAGCAGAGGGGTTCATGCCTCAAAAGCTCGATCTCTTTTGTTTTCATGGTGATGCGAGTGCTGAAAGGTGGTTTTCCCGGCCAGGCCAGGACGCCTCCAACTGGCCGGCCTGGGCCAAGGAGCAATTCCGAGCGGAGCTGCGGGAGATGGTGGATGGTTTGCGGAACCACCCCTCTGTGACTGTGTGGGTGCTTTTCAATGAGGCGCATTTGTGATATTGGGTGTGGCTCAAAATTTAAAAGGAGGGGCAAACCGCAGGTTTTGGTCCATGTTTCCACTTCCCAGGGTTCCATCTTGGTACCAGTTTCTTGAGCCACAGCCAAAGGCCATGTGCCAAGGGACCCCCGTTAAAGTCATCAAGTCGTCTTGCAGGCCAGTGGACAAAATCTACTTGGCACCCACTGGGATTGGTGGCTTCTCCCAGACTTGTACCCATGCCAACTGTTGGCATATCAGAGAGAAGGCAATTGGTTGGTATTCAAGAGAAGCGAAAAGCATAGGGGCCGATTCCGTTGAGCCGCACGGGCGCGAGGCCTGGGGCCAGCATGACTCCCTGGAGATCGGGCGATGGCTTCAAAGTTATGACCCCTCCAGGCTCATCAACATCGCCAGCGGCGGGAACTTCTTTGAGGTCGGGGACATGGTAGACCCTGGGCGAGAAAAAAGAGCAACCTTTGGGCTAGCATGGAAGCATGAATTATGTTCCCACGAACCCTTAAGACTTGGTACCAGGTTCAAACGCCTTTTGGGAGCTTCCATGTTGGCTGAAAGAGGCGGGAGTCACTTGTTGGTTTCCCTGAAGGAAACTTAGCCGGCATGGATAGTTGTTAGTATTGTGTTCCAGAACAGCCCTACTCTTCAGCGCCCAGGACCACCACAACTACCCGGAGCCCACCTTTCCCATGGAGCCCATGGATGACCGGTTTAGAGATTACGTCAAGGTGATCGGGGAATTCGGGGGCCACGGCTTAGTGCTGCCTGCCGAGCATTTGTGGCAGACCGCCAAGAAGCACTGGGGCTATGATGTGCTGCAGGACATGACCTCACTTGTCCAAAGCCCTCTGTTTGGTGCAACTTTAGCGAGGAATGGCCCCATTTTGGAAGTGAATGGCTGGCCCCCTTTTAGAAAGTGATTTGTTTGTTTTAAAACCGAGAACATAGGCTTCCAGGATTCCCGAGTTTTGTGGCAGTGGTGGTGGGTCCCTCCTGCGCAGGACATCTCCGAATTGGAGGCCAAGTACCAAGGCCAGGAATAGGAAGCGAAACGGCGGCTACCTATTTTGAAGGTCCAAATCCCTTTTTGACACATATTTCCCTTTTTGGGGGTCTTCACAACACGACCTGGGCCAGTTCAAAGGAAGTTTCCCTTTGAGGTGATGGTACAAAGAGGGAGAATGTAAATGGGGATTCGCGTGTCATCCACCTGAACATGATTTACCCCGCAGAATGGTTCGGTTGAAAATTCATGGCACCTGTTCGAGTTTGGTTTTAGACGTTTACCCGTGGACGCCGTCAATTTTTCCTCAACAGGATGCCTAAGCCCTAAGCGCTCTGGAGCGCTGTAGGAACTCAAGAATACGAAGCCCTGGAAGCCACGTAGTTGGTTCAGTTCTGGGGTGGACATGAACCCTTTCGGGAGCTAAACGGCAACAACCTGGATGGTTCAGTTTGGGGTCATTCTATCTCACGCATTTTCCTCGCATTGTATGATTTACGCAGCCCTAGTTTCTCAATATGGACCCCCTGTTGCTAGGAACACCCCAAAATGTCCAAGGCAACCAGCAATTTTTGGGGATCCTTCTTGTACGAACTACCTGAAACACCCTGAAGGCTCCATCCAGAACCTCTGCCACTGGATGCGCCGGGGCATCGCCGCAGGGGTCTACACCCAGACCACGGACGTGGAGTGCGAGGTCAATGGCCTCCTCAGCTATGACCGTGCCTGGCTCCATGTTGCGACCCCCGAGGTAAACTTTTGGGGTGCTTGATTTAATGTGGCTGTGGGTCAAAACCAACGGGATCCCATTTTGGGGTAGGTGCACCACCCATTTTAGTCTATGTTAGTGGGTGGGATGTTCACTGGTGGTATGGGATTTTGACCCGTGGCCATGATGGACCCTCTTTTTTTAAACCCCTGACCCAACAGTGCCAACAGTCATGCTGACCCCATTTAGCGTTGGTGTTGGTTTTTTTTGTTTTTGTGGATGTTGGGCTTGGGCTTGCCAATTCTAAAAGTAGTACTGCGAAGACTTGATCTCAGAGGTCCAGTACTTCATTTAGTATTGGCGCTAAACATTTGGTATTTCCGATATTCAATCTTAGTTTCTCAGTACGACATTGTGCATTGCCAATTGCCAAGACTTGATCCTATGTTTCCAGTAATTGTAGAATAATATTGGCAATACTGTACTAGATTTGGCATTCCGAGGCCTAAGGCGTGTAGCCTTGGAGCCAGGAAGAGTTTAGATGAACTACCCTTTAAAGTTAACCGCCAAAGCTTTGACCTTGGGATTTCAACACCCCAAACAACACAACAAAATTAAACAAGTACTTGCCACTGAAGAGGACCTCAAAACAGTCAGACTAAAGATGATCAGGGGCTCTTGTGGGCAAATTCACGGTCTGGCCTTGTTTTCTTTATAAGGAGATTATAGAATCATGGTTCTGGGAACCACTTGCAGAGGAACTCGTAGATCCAAGGCCTTCAGCCTTTGAGCCGGGAAGGGCTTGGATGAACCCCTGAGACACAGATCAAGGAGTTTCAGGGCAGTAAGACACAACATGCTTGCAATTGTTTACCCTGTTGTTCTCCTATCTTTTTTGTTGTTATATCTTACCGTGTGTCCTATTTGTTCCAGGAAATTGCGTGTATTGACCCAGAGCAGTGTCAGAATCCTGTGTAAAAATAAATAAAGAGGGCCCAAAAAGGGAACCTCCAGGGTTTTGGCCTACGTTGGTCCTTGAGATACATCCAAAACTATCCTGGGTTGTGTCAAACTAGGGATGCGGACCCCAGCATGGTTGGGTTGTCCCTTTGGTTTCCCTTTAAAGTAGCTCCAAAAGAGGGTACCCTTATACACACACACACAAGACATGGTTCGCTCTGTCCAGTTACCAGGGAGATGGCTGCAACCAGGTTGGGGTTTTGGCAGCCCATGAGAAACGCACACGGGCCTGAGAAAGTAGTTTCAACCCTTGGGGTGGTGGAACCTCCTCCTTCAGTGAGACGTTTCCTTCAGCTTGTTTGGAGGGTGTCCTTAAGTGAGTTCCCTCAATGTTGTTTCCGTATCAAATTGTTTGAGTGTTCCACTAACTCACAAAGTTGGACACCCGTTTTGCCCATCACTGGAGGGGTTGGGATCCGAATCGCCCCCTTTTTTGGTGTCTTGTTTGAGTATACCCGTTTTGAAGTTTGTTGCGGTTTGTTGAACTCTACTGGCTTCTTGAAAACTAGTTGTTCTATGCCTGACAAAGGTAAGTTTGTTTCTGGGCAACAAGCAAGTTGACCCTCTCAGGCAAGGTCACCAAGTTGGGCGCGGCTGTCCTGGCCAAGGCCCACAAAGAGCTGTGGGCGGCCGAGTTGGAAGGTCCAAAGCCAACTGCGAATGCCGGCTACAACCCATGAAGCCCGGCTGACTGTCGGCCGAACGGGCGCTACCGAAGTGGAGCTTGAGGCAGGGACACGAAGAACGAAGAACGGCGGTGCGGCTTCCGAAGCCGAGCCGCGCGACCACGCAAGCTGGTGACGTCGACGAGTCTCGCATCACCTGGCGCTTTCGGTGGAGA